GGGCAAATTTCTTTCTCACACTGTGGGTCACAACAGACAGAAATGGGTTGTTGAAGGTTTTTGGGCTATATGACCATGTTCTAGAAGCATTCTCTAATGATGTTTCGCCTGCATCTATGGCAGGCATCCTCAGAGGTTGTGAAGATCTCACAACCTCTGAGTCTGGTTGCCATAGATGCAGGAAAAACATCAGGAGAGAATGCTTCTAGAACATGGCCATATAGCCCGAAAAACCTACAACAACCCAGTGATTATGTCCTTGAAAGCCTTTGACAATACATTAAGACATAGAAATATTTCCAATAGAAATGCAAAAGGCAAAACCGAAAGTAATTTGAATATTCCTTCCTTCTCTAATTGAAGTGGAGGGCTGAACCCTGAAGTAACATAAAACGAGGACTAAGGAAAGGATCAGTTTTGGGGTTTTTTTTCTGGCTTCGGGAGAATTTGGTGAAACTGTAGGCAACAAAAACAAGATGTGGTCCACTGCTCGACCATTTCCTCTAGGTTCTAAGATTTCTGCAGCTAAATTGGCCTCCAGCCCCAACAATGGCTTCAAACTACAAGAAAGGAGATTCCATCTGAACATGAGGAAGAACTTCCTGACTGTGAGAGCCATTCAGCAGTGGAACTCTCTGCCCCAGAGTGTGGTGGAGGCTCCTTCTTTGGAAGCTTTTAAACAGAGGCTGGATGGCCATCTGTCAGGGGTGATTTGAATGCAATTTTCCTGCTTCTTGGCAGGGGGTTGGACTGGATGGCCCATGAGGTCTCTTCCAACTCTTTGATTCTATAATTCTATGATTCTATGAAAGTTGCCCATCCTTGTTCTAGAAGTCCTGGGGGTATATCTATGGGAAGGGCAAAATGAGATAATTGGCCTTCACAAATAAGATTTCCATCAGCCTTCAATTTTTAGCACTGAAGAGAGTGAGACATTCAAAATGGTTCATATATTGAATTCTTTTATTTGCTGTGTTGCCTTCTCTTGCCTCTCTCTTTTCTTTGGACCCCTAAACCATACTTACAGATGCTCAACTGAATGTTTATTTTAGTGAAATGCAAGACGTTTTTGGAGTGAAGAAAACTTTGGCTTGGTTGAATCAGAAGTCTTACCTAGAGGAGCAAAGCTGCCATGTTACATTTCCCCTGCCCCCAACCTCACAAAGCTTGTGGATTTCAATGACTTCTCTGTGCAGTCTGACATAATGGTTGTGGACAAGTGCAGCTGTGGACAAGTCTACATAGGGACCATCAAATGCAGCAGCCAGACATGGATCAAAGAATACAAAAGGCACTGCAGACTAATTCATCCAGAGAAGTCAGCTATAGCAGAGCACATGATAAACCAACCGGGACACAGAATATTATTTGAGAACACAGAAATTCTGGATCACTCTGACAACCATTATGTCAGACTACACAGAGAAGCCATTGAAATCCACAAGCACATGGACATTTTCAACAGAAAGGAGGAAACCATATCAATGAACAAAACCTGGTTACCAGTATGAAAAAAACACCAGAATCAAGACAGTAAATAATGAACACCACTCAGAAACATGAAAATTCCAGACAACAAGCAATCAAGGACCAGTTAATACCTCTCAAAAGGAGAGGTATTAACAAAGACCAGGCTACCTCTATGCAAATACCCTCATTGATTGACTTTGTAAATTTCATGGCTGGCTACTCAAAATGCTAATTCAAGCTTTCTAATTGCAAGATTCACGCTTGCTTTAAACAGACAAGGGCTCTTTCTCCCCTGGACATTCCACTGATATATATACATTCCACTTGTCTCACTGTCAACAGAACCTCTGAAGATGCCAGCCACAGATGCAGGCAAAATATTATGAGAGAATGCTGCTGGAAAATGGCCATATAGCCAGATAAACTCACAGCAACCCAGTGATTCTGGCCATGAAAGCCTTCGACAATGCATGGAGCTGATTATCATCAGCATACTGAAGCCATCAAAGCCAAAACTCCAAATGAACTGATGCAATGACTTCATATCATTATTAAGCAGTATGAAGGATAGGATGAAACCCGCTGGCACTCCACAGTTCAATATGAGGATGGCAGAAATATCCCATCCACCTCATGGTGACCATTTAGATGTGACTGGATCTCATAGTCGATTCTGTCCATAACCTCTAGCCATACAGGCTAACAACCTTGTGGTGTTTGTTTTGCTGTCTGTGCCCCCTGTTCAGAAGATTTCACCTCACTTTCTGTCCTTGTGATAATTGAGTTTTGAAAAATTGGCTTGTTGTGGAAACAAGGATTGGTGAGAACACTTCTGTGGAAACACCTTTTCACCATGATAACTCAAGAGTGATTTTCCCTTCTGAGGTGTAGATTTCTCTCACTTCCTGTTGTTTCACTCCTGTTCTTAACTAGGGATCTCATCACATGAAGTGGATTAATGTGGGTGACAGCAGGGGAATTCATCAGGAAATGTAGCAAATCTGGCGAGCCGCAGGGGAATCTGTCACCCCATGCCCCACACTGCTACCTTCTGCATCACATGGAGGAAAGCATTGCTGCTTTGTTTCCCCCTGTGCTCACCCCATTGCTGGCAATGAGAACACAGGAAGTTTCCAGTGGTTTTTTTAATTGCCTCCTCTTAGGATGCATCCTGCACAGTTCCAAGAAGGAGCCCCACCAGAAGTAGCTCTACATCATTTAATGGGATTTGGTGGGTTCCGTCCTTGAACTGTGCTAGATGCATCATAGAATTGCTAAAAACTTCAATGGGAAGAGGTCATATGAGTTATTTGTAAATTGGATGTTTGTAACTCAGGGACTGTCTCTATCGCAATTTTCAAGTTTATATTTGGGTCCCATATAAGTATATCATTATGTACTTAATATATGAAAATATGGGTATTCCAAAATACAAAAACAAAATCTGAAATCCAAACTAATTCTGGTTGCAAGCCTTTTGGATAAGGGAAACTCAGTCTGTACTAGAAGAATTTGCACTGGCGATTTTGTCTTCTATGCACACAGAAATCATTTAAAGCTTCCAAGCTCCGTGATCATTTTCTAGTACGCTGATTCATTAGCATCATTTCTTAAAGTTAAATCAAAGAACCATCTGTTTCCTTTTAGCTAATAGCTGTTTGGGCACCATCATGATAAGTCAATAGATAATTAGCACTGGTGCTGTTTATGAAGCATTTGTTTTAAATTGCTTATGATCTGATCTTTAAATCTATAACTCATGCCCTATCACTGGACAGAAGGTATTCATCATTCATTCATTTTCAGTGGAAAGTTAATAAAATGGTTATCTAAATTTGCTCTTAACCGAGCCAGACCTAGCTAGCTGAAATGGAGCAGATAAAACCCAGCAGTAGCAAAATGTAATGAAAAATTAGCTTTCTCGACTGCCAGAACTACAGGGCATTCATAATAAGTCTTCTGATAAGTGTGTATTTATTTAGATTTTGCATCCGGTGGAGGAGTTAATAGGTGTGAATATCTACAGTATATATACTATTGAGTCAGGGACACCTAGTAGCTCCAACTCCACCAGTTTTAATTATCTTCTTTAGACCAGGGATTCCCAAACTAAGGACTGTGGGCCGGATGCAGCGCTCCAATGTCATTTACCTCATCCCCAAAATTTAAACTAAGGAGCCTTCCACATATTGGCATATTCTGGGATCACATTCTGGGATAAAGGGCCCTTAAAGGCACACAACAACAATCCTTATTAACGTGACTATCTCATTAGCCAAAAACAGGCCCACACTTCCCATTGAAATACTGGTAATGGCTGAAGGGCTGGGCTGGGAGGGAAGGGGGCTGTTCACATGCTGGGTGGGGTGGGCCCATGAGGGGTATGGCCTGGGAGAAGTGGGGCCAGGAGGGACCAGGGCAGAGCCTGGATCATCCTCAGGTTGTCCTCCAAGCATAAGGATGTGGCTGCTTGCTGAGGAGGAAGTAATGCTGTAATTGGGAGGAAAATAATAAATAGAAGGAAGTAAAGTACTGAGGCGGCTTGTCCGATAATAATAAATGGGTGCTCTACCGGTTGTCCTCCGATTCATGTTAGGATTAGGACGTTTGAGATTAGCGTTCAGAAGAGGACTTGGGATAAAGGTTGGAATGTGCTACTTCATTGTTTAGATGTATGTAATATTGGGATTAGGGCTAGGATTAAAATTGATATTAATAGTGCTATTACACCGCCCAGTTTATTTGGGATTGATCGGAGAATGGCGTAGGCAAATAAAAAATATCACTCTGGTTTAATGTGAGGGGTGTTACTAAGGGGTTTGCTGGGGTATCCTCTTGGCATTCTGTTAGGAGGAGGGTGAGACAGGTGGTGGCTGAGAGTGCTCCAGAGGGCTGTCAGCCACCATGTGCCTTCCTTGAGCTGTCCTCCCAGCATAAGGATGGGGCCACTCACACCATCCTTATGCCGGGAAGAGAGCGAGACACGTGGTGGCTGAGAGCGCTCCAGAGGACTTTCAGCTGCTGTGTGCCTTCCTCTGCCATCTTTTTGGCATTTGGACGTGGTGGGCCATCATGTCCTTATGCCAAGAGGATAGGGAAAATGAGGAGGGCCTGAAGTAATTGTCCAGAGGGCCACATCTAGCTCCGGACCTTAGTTTTCCCAAACCTACTCTGAAAGCATCTAGTTAGTACTGGAATAGGAGACTGTCAATGCTATAGGGGCTATGATATTCATCTCAGAATATTCCTTGCCTAAAAAAACAACCCTATGAAATCAATGGGGTCACCATAAGTCAACGAATAACATGGAGACACATACACATACGCCTTTGATTTGCAAATCTGCAAGTACTTTACTAGCCACAATGAATGATGTTGTTTGGACATATGTAACAGATGTCAATGTGTCATTAAACTTAAACCAAATCTATCTTCTCTCTAGTCCATTTCTCACACAGCAAGGGCCTGAATATTGCTCTGCCTTTGGAGCTCCAAGTAAACTACACAAAACCAGGTGGTTTATCATGTACCCAGCAGGATGCTGTACAAGCTGGTGTACGGCATGTATCCTGCAGAGGGGGCACAGACTCTATTCTGTTAGAACAAAATATTTACACACACATTAGCACTAGAGTTATGTACTGGCAAGCCTAAAGTCCCAACTGAAATGGCAGGTCCTAATGTTCTAATCTGTCTAATCACTTGGTGACCTGTAATTTGCTTCAAGTGGATTATCTGGGGGGGGGGGGGGGTCATTTTATTCCAAACAGTCTTTTCCATTTATTAATTTCTTTGGGGTCTATGGGTTACATTACTCTGCTGTTTGTGTGATAATAATGCATTATCCCTTCCAGTGTGGTAGGAAATACTGAAGTCACACTATTAGACAAGGTAAACACATAACTGTGGATGTAAAATCTGGATTTGCCATTGGAAGGGTCTAGGTAAGTGAAATGCCTGTCCAATCCTGAAGTTTAGCACCACACACATTGCCCTGAAAGGCCAGGTTGGTGGTTCATTTCAGAGGTAACCTGCCTAATTTGTGTATTTCATTTTACCTGCATCACTCTTCAGCCATAGCCAGCACTTTCTGATGGGAGTTTCAGTCCCACAATATCTAGGAGTGCAAATGTGTCCCATCACTTGTGCTCACACTTGTGGGGAGCACCCTTGCTTGCAAAAACAATTGACCATGTTCCATATAGCCCGGAAAAACCTACAACAACCCAATTGACCTTCTTTCTCCACCAGTCTCTTGGTAAAACATTGGTGCTCCCGACCCATTGGTGGAATAATCTTTGCATAAAATTATTGGTTTACATAGGTCTCCATAAACCTACACTATGTGCTGAATAATCTTATAAAATGCTTTTCTTGTTGTTTTCATCCTGTAATTCACCAAAATGTGTCACTCTGATGCATTCTGGTGACCTCTGTATTTGGAGTGTGTGTGTGTGTGTGTGTGTGTGTGTCTGGATGAGCCTACCAGAGGTCACCAGAATGCATCAGAGTGATGTATTTGGAGAGTTCTCCCTTGCATTCAGTCTAAATATTGACACATTTTGGGGTATTACGGGATAAACACACACACACACATTTATATATATATAGCTCTGTTCATTTTGAGTGACATCATAACTCTAAAACTGCTGGACTAATTACAACTACAACTCCCAAATGTCAAGATCTATTTTTCCCAAAGTTCACCAGTGTTCACATTTGGGCATATTGAGTATCTGTGCCAAGTTTGGTCCAGATCCATCATTGTTTGAGTCCACAGTGCTCTCTGGATGTAGGTGAACTACAACTCCAAAACTCAAGGTTAACGTCCACCAAACCCTTCCAGTCTTTTCTGGTGGTCATGGGAGTTCTTTGTGCCAAGTTTGGTTCAATTCCATCACTGGTGGTGTTCAGATTGAAGGTTAACTATACATCTCAGCAACTACAACTCCCAAATGACAAAATCAATTCCCCAACCCCACCAGTATTCAAATTTGGGTATATTGAGTATTTATGCCAAATTTGGTCTAGTGAATGAAAATATATCCCACATATCAGATATTTATATTATTATTAATAACAATAGCAAAATTACAATTATGATGTAGCAACAAATATAATTTTATGGTTGGGGGTTACCACAACATGAGGAACCGTATTAAGGGGTTGCAGCATTAGGAAAGTTGAGAACCACTGCCTTATTAGAAAAAGGGACATTCCAAAATGTAAAGATGTTGTACTTGACTGGTTAATTGAGCTGAATATTTTAGACAAATGGCATGCCTGTTTTAATAACCTTTCCTTTCTAAAATGTCAGTGCTGGGTTCCTTTTAATACATAGCCAATGGTACTCAAAGCTTCAAAGTACTGTTAATGTAGCTGAACAAATCTAATGAGATATTCAATCCAATAGTTTTCTCTCACATGAAGTTATGTTTTTGCTTTGTGATTAAATACACAGTGACATGCTCATCTAGCACACTAAATAAGAGCTTAGGCTTACTTCACTGACTAAGCCTGCATAGTGAAAATATCCCAAATTGGAAGAATTAGATCATACATCATAAAACAAAATCTTGACAAAAACGGTCTAATTTCAGTTAATATTAGTGAGACAAATCATTTAAATGTGTGCATGGAGTTCAATTGATTTTAATGAAATGATGGTTTGGAAAAGGCATTTCTATACATAAACGGAGGTGCTATCTTGATTGGGATTTCACATGTTTTCAATCAGTCTATTACTAAAATATAGGCTCTGGAAAAAAAATAGACCCTTGGAAAGGTTGACAGCAATAGAATAAAATAGAGATTTAAAAAGAGAATACCTCTAACAATATTAATTCTGATATCCTTGAAGTAACCCTCTTAACTAAATAGAGGCATTAAATTATAAAACATCTCAGATTTTTTATTGAGCAACACAAGTTGCTCAATAAAAGTTTGGAGTGTTTTACTTTAAGAAGAGTTCTTTACTTTAAGAAGAGGTTGGATGGTCATCTGTTGGGAGTGCTTTAAGTACATGTCCAACAGTCAATTTTTAAAAAATAACCATATAGGAAAAATGGTCTCTATTAGGCCTGGGTAACAACAGAAAAATTTGTTTCTAAAATCGATTCGTTGTTTGGGTTTTTTTGCGTTTCGATATTTAAAAGAATTCCGAATTTTTTTTTTAAAAAAGTTCGATATTTACGAAATTTTGTAAATGGTAAAAAAATTACAAAACAATAACGAAACAATAACGAATCGATTCGTTAATGGCGGACGCGACCGCGCAATACGCTAAAAAACCTCCAAATGGGACAGGGGGAACTTCTGAAGCTTCCCTCTCCCTCTGTTGTTGACTGTTGGTGTGATATTATAATTTTTTTCACTAATTAAACAAAAAACAACTATAAAACTTGCCCCAGACATGCGGAAATAATAACGAAACGACCTCAAACCAATAACGAAACGAATACATAACGAAATACGAAGCATTTACGAAACGAATTGAAAAATTCGTTTCGTTTTTAAGCTGCTCCAGAATGGTTCGTTATCGCTTCGTTAACAAAAAAATAATGAATTTTTAACGAATTACGAATTAACGAAACAAAACCGCCCAGCCCTAGTCTCTATGAGAAAAGGAAGGAAAATGTATGGGGAGAATGAGACTTAGGCAATTTCAAACTGCATTATATGGCATTGTAGATGGGCCCTTGGTGCTCATCTATACTGATCACTTAGGTAGGTTCTGAAGTGGAATAGCAGAAACTAGGTTAATGGTGTAGATCAGTGGTTCTCAACCTGGGGTCCCCAGATGTTTTTGGCCTACAGCTCCCAGAAATCCCAGCCAGTTTACCAGCTGTTAGGGTTTCTGGGAGTTGAAGGTAAAAAACATCTGGGGACCCCAGGTTGAGAACCACTGGTGTAGATGATTAGGTTGACGGCGATGCCTTCAACTCTGCTGGACTGGCCATGTTGTCTGAATGCCTGGTCACTATCTCCCAAAGTAGTTACTATACTCCCAACTCAAGAATGGAAAACAGAATGTTGGTGGACAGGAAAAGAGATTTAAAGATTGGATTGAAGCTAACCTTAAAAACTGTGGCATAGACACTGAGAAATGGGAAGCCCTGGCCCTTGAGTACTCTAACTGGAGGTCAGCCATGACCAGCAGTGCTGCAGAATTCAAAGAGGCACGAATAGAGGGCCAAAGGGTGAAATGTGCCAAGAGGAAGACGTATCGAGCCAATTTTGACCAAGACCACCTGAAAACTGATTCCCTCACTGTGGAAGAACATGTGGGTCAAGAATAGGGCTCCACGGTCACTTACATATCCATCGCCAAGACACTACACTTGGAAGGCCATCATACTCTGACAATGAGGGATCACCTAAGTAAGTAAGATTAGGTGGACATTTATGGAATTGGTTTGAGACTTGGATGGTGATTACACAAACACAGAGAGTGGTCCCAAGCTGGTTCCCAGATCTGCAATATTCACAACTATCCACAGGGGCGGCTCACCCATTACGAAAAGTAAGCATTTGCAGTATAGTTGATTTTGCCCAGGGGCACTCTTGAGGCGCTCTTGGGGGAAAATAGACCTTGACATATGCGAGTTGTAGTTACTGGGATGTATAGTTCACCTACAATCAAAGAGCATTCTCAACTCCACCAATGATGGAATTGAACCAAATATGGCACACAGAACTCCCACGACGAACAGAAAATATATATCAGTGATTGGTTGGGGGGGGGGGGCGCCAAAATACTGTTTGCTTACTGTTGAAAATGACCTAGGGCCACCTCTGACTATCCATAGCCATGGATACTGAGGTTTGGGATGTTTTTTTTTAAACTTCATCTGCTGGAATGTGATTTCACACATCAAAAGAGCATTCTGGGTGTCTACACAATGATTTGCATTCTGTAGAGTTATGATTTTACACTTAGAGCAGGCTGATGCGCATTAAGGCTCTGTTTTGGAATATCTCCCAACTTTACTTATCTTGGTTTAAAGGACTTAAAGCACACAATAGTGAACTTTCATGGCATGTGTTGTTGTATAGCCACCACACTTTGAAGCTGACTCCAAGCTGAACTAAATGGTCAGTGTAGTTGCATCCTTACTTTTCCTTTGATTTTTGTGTGTGTGTGTCAGAAGCGACTTGAGAAACTGAAGTTGCTTTTGGGGTAAGAGAATTGGCCGTCTGCAAAGATGTTGCCCAGGGGACACCCAGATGTTTTACCATGTCTCTCATGTACCCGCATGGGAAGCTGGAGCTGACAGATGGGAGCTCACCCCGCTCCCCAGATTCGAACTACTGACCTTTTGGTCAGCAGTCCTACCAACTATTTTATTTATTTATGTCACTTTTCCCAACCATATCAGCCCGAAGACGAACTATGGAATGAACTAGGATGACTCATTCCAAAAATACATTTTCAGTTGTCTTTATAAACAGACTGCTATAAAACACTGAAACTGGCTTGCTACTCAATATCCATTTTCCTCAGTTAACATACAGGTGGTAAGGTGCATAATTTCTTTTTGAAAGCTACATAAGAAACTATGGCC